TAAATCCGAGGCGCATGCGCATTTCTGTTTTCACCTGTCAGTAAAACACCACTGAAAATTAACGCCAATTTGTTAATACCTCTTTACACCAGAAATTACCTATCCTCGGGGGCGGACATCCGGGCATTTTCTACCGCCTGGCAACCCTTGCGGTGAAAACAAAGACCAAAAACTCGCAGAAAATGGTACTTTGCGATGGTTGTTGAGAGTCCCCTGAACAGTGTAACAAGATTAGCCCTACGTGTGTAACATATATGAATTTGGTTGTTCAGGATTACTTCAAAGTTGAGTTTGTGTTGTTTTCTCGAATTTTCACCGGCTCCACCGGCGTTCCACAGCAGCGCGCACAAAGCCCATAGAAATACGTGGTACAGTGATGCACGTCTTAGCAACGTAGAACGTCTGTGACATAGCTCCGCCCCCGAGGATATATGTATTACACTATTCATTGATCATTATTCTATACTCCAAACACTGCAGCTGGAACACAAACAAGCCTTGGCGACTGACTGTTCCTCTATCCATTCCCACCCCAAGCACATTGCTTGCGAGACCGACACTGTCGCGCGCATGGTATCCTAGCAACCTTAAGAACACGCATATCTTTTTTATTTACATTTTGAAGTTGTCCTGCTGGAAATCGCTAGCAAAGAGTGACATGATACTATGTATGTGCATACTAAAAATAGAGTATTGTTTCTGGTATTCATTCAGTTCGATGCGGTAAGAATGTGCTTAAAAGCTATTTCCGGCGTGAAGCATAGATTTCAAATACTAGCATTGTAACTCGATGCGAAATCGATCAGTCGTCGCGACAAAAAATAGATTTTTGTTTAAATTTGCTATATCGAGAGGCGACAGACATATTTAAAAAATATGTTTAATATATAAACATGTTTCAAATTATGTTTTCAGGTTCCCACTTAAACCTACCTTTTCCACAATTTTTCTAACTCAGTCTGATCGTTGATATCTCGGTACTCAGAATTGTCTACAGAAATATTACGTAAGTAAAATTTAATGTGCGTTTTATATTTTATAGAATAACATAGGAGCCTGCGCATTCTGGCTTTGTCCTATGGATATTCCGAAAAATAATAGCAGTTGTCATTGAAACCGTCGATATGTCAAATGAAATTATATAGGCTAAGTTCAGGCTTTTGGTTCGTAAATTGTGTGAACATAAATGTGTCACCTCTCACTCACTTGCATACAGTCTCTTGTTTGCTGTGTTGATGAACACTCACATAATATTTAATTTTACAGTATCCATTTTTTACAACATACATACAGTACATCGTCTGTTTAGTATTTGTGTTTAACGGGAATGTGCCATGAATACATAATGGATGTCACTGAACTCGGGGTTCGTGTTTCATTAAATTGTACACTATGGTATTTTAATAGTCTTAACCAATCAATGTTCAATCAATTTCCAATATCACGGTATATCATGTCAGAACGATGACTACGATCTGTCAATAAGACTCCTAACGGGTGGTACATATCCGCTCCGAGCAGACTGGCGACGCGGCATCTAATTTAGATATAGTACAAGTCGCCAGCGAAATTTAGTAAACTTAATTTTGGTGAACAAAATTTGACGAGCAATTGTGCTCACCAAAGACGATGAATGAAACCTCGTTCTTAAACGGTGGGCGTTATTTTCTTTTCAAACAAACATTTCTCACTCGCGTCATCTGGAATCTTACATTTTCACTCGTTCACTAGAGATATATGTATTTGCAGATCAAGATTTAAAGAGCATATGACTTAAAGTGAACAGCAACTGACCCCCCCCCCCCATCTATTCCAAATCGGGTCCCCTTTTCCGGGGGATATTCCTTATCTGAAATTTGCTGACTTAAAAATGCTCGCTCTACAGCGTTTATCTAACCAACATTTGAATCACTCTCATTTAATTACGATGCAGCGTTCAGCAGCATACACCTGGGCAACAATACACATAGCTTCGGCCTCAGGGTGTCAAAATATTGCTCGCCGGATCAGATAATATCATCATACGGTAGGCAATAATGTCCCAATGGAACAGCTGAACATATAAAATGGTCAATTATTATCAAGTTCTGCGCATGCGTATTAACTTCAATCGCCGCAAAGACAAGCGGACAGGCGAAAGTTATATTTCGAGTGAAGCTATGTTGAAGCGCCCTCTAGCGTTACATTCCAACAACTCGTACGCTGAAGCGCCAACGACATTGAAGATGCTAGTATAAAGTTACGATGACAACTTCTCGGATGCGTGTCAGTTGTTTTGGAAACTATAATATTATGCCTTCCTCCTAAATAATATAATGAATTATAATATAATATAATATAGGCCAGTGAATAAAGTAATGCATAATGAATATTTATAAATAAGAAAATAAATCAATAAACAACAAACAACACGTTTCATTCCATTTTATCTATTTATTTTGGCATATATTTAAAACTTATTACACAACATTGCATGAACAGGGAAATCTTACTAGTCCGCGCGTTTCAATTGAATTTGAAAACTGCTACGAGTTTCACAAACCCCGGGCCGTCGGTAATCCCTGCTTGGCGACAGTGGGTGGCGTATTTCGGGAATAGCCCGTCGCGTCGCGGCGATCCCGCGAGCAGTTTCGTTCTAGTTCCTTTTGCGCTTGTGTTGTTTTCGTGACAATCACCTAGGAACGGAGTATGTGTGGCTCGATGGGGTGTGATACATGCTTTTTCAACAAAGTAGTTCCTGTTTGGTGTCTGATTGTTTCAATAAAAAGTGTTTCTGAAAAAAAAATATCTACTTCATCAATTACCAACACTGAAAAATGTACGCATGGAAAGAAAGAGGTAAAAACAATTATGGTGGAATCTGCACCAGGTTCTTTGCCGGAAAATTAATGTGGCTGCAAGAAAGTATAACGACAACCAGCGAGTTACTACAGGCTCTTGTCGGAATGATTCCTTTTGAAATTGGTGACTCGATTGTGGTTTCAACGCAGAATACTGTAAAATGACTAATTTTCACTGGGTTTAAATTTCACTGATTTACCATTTCAGGCATATTCAGTGGGTTATAAATTCACGGTTTCGTCATTTAGATACTGTGTTCTATGCTAAATTTTACATATTCACTGGGTTTTAATTTAGCGCATTTTCCAGTCAGCGAAATAAGCTAAATTAAAACCCAATGAATAATTAACCCTTTACAGTATATGAAAATGGGTATTATTATTACGAAAAGAACGTAGTCTTGATGGAGCGTGCAAATATATCACTTACACGTAAAGATAACATTAGGATAGATGTATTGGAAATATGAATGTGCTGTTGTTTAGTCGCCCATAATATCGATCTATATTTAATAACAACAGAATAAATAGGAATACATTCATTATTATATAGATTTTAATATCTCTTAATGTCCCACACTCATGCCGTTGTCGCCATGTTCTAGATGAGTCCCACACAGCGTGTATGAAAAAAATGTTTATTTACAAGAAACTCTAAGGCGCATTGCACAGTGACAGGAATGTTTTAAATTTGCGTTCCCACTTTGCACCTCCCTTAATGATTTTTATTACCCCAAAGGAAAATGATAAAATCAGTTGGTTTGACAACAAATCCTGAAATATTATAGATCTGAAAATTGCTGTAGATCTTGGCGTTTATTCACCAAATCAAACTTCATTCATTTTCATCACTCAAAGCCACTTCACTTGATTTTAGGATTTTTTTTCGCGGGACCTGTGCAAAATCCCATACCCTATATTATGGGGGCAACATTAATATTTCTGAAATTCCAAATTCAAATTGGTGGTAATTCACGTGACACTCGTTTGCGAATGCACGTGTGCATGCCAAATCACGTGGTTGTCTGGCAAGTGAATATTATTACTACCGCGGCCAACTACGCGACCGACCGACACCGTCAACTTGACTTGACAACTACAACAATTTGGTGTTTGGCGCCGTCTGCGAAAAACACAGTAGACAGTATTTGAACACGTCTTTTGAGTTGAGTAACGTTGACATGGATTCTATTGTACGTATCTTGTCGTCCGTCTGGGAGAACTGACGGGTTTCAGTAATACAGGAATTGAGTGTCAATACTAGCCAAGATTTGACGTAGTTGTGGTGGGTAATTTCGGCTTGGGATATCAGCCTCAATGCCAAAACCACCGTTAAGATTACTACTCAATCGTAATGGGTCGCTATGGACATCGGAGCTTGACAACGCGAAAATTGTCTGGTAGAGGCGGCGAATGACGCGTGCATCGGGGAAAAAGTCGTTAGAAAACGCCACATTTCAGTCTACTGGGCATTGCACTGTATACAAATCGCCCTGTGGTCGGCGAGAAAACAGAACGATTAGCACTTTGATCGTGTTTACCCATAAGATAAAGTCAAGTTAAGCCCATGTATTGTGGCTATTGACAGCGGCCAATTGAACAGGGGCACTTGACAAGGAGAAAACACACAGAGACAAGCGGACAATACGATAATGCCGTAATGATCTGTTTTCAGTGAGAATACATTTGTGTCCGTTTCAGAACCGCTCAATAGAATACCAATGAATGGTTTATCCATCGTCTAAACTGCGCCGACAAACTGGCGCCCGACCATCAATGCAAGAAATATCTGTCTATCGACGGGTCTCTGATCATCTCTTTAGCTTTTGAAATAGGTTTACCGTAGCATCGTCCATGCACTTCTCCTCTTTGGTGAATTAAGCAATATTCAGAACAGTTTTTAAATAAGCGGATTAACAGTTTAAAGGTTCACCTAGGTGTCGAGTATATTCGTAGTCGCTGACTTGTTGTTTTTTTTCCAGCTAACGTCCGTCACTTTGAAATGGGGAGGTATGTTTACCCGTAACTATTAGTATTTCCCGCGCCCTGATATACATGCTCACAATATACGACAGCTAAAGGGCATTTTATGAAAATCACCAGCAAAACAAGCATTTTTCCCGTTCTTCTGATTTCAACTGAGATCTCGACATTTAAAAATAAGGCTATTTTTCTCTACTTTATTTCTTCAAAAATAAAATAATTGTGATAATCTGTACAAAAAAAAAAACGAGCAAAAAACTAGGATATTTCCATATATTCGCAGGGTTATCACAATATTTACTCAAGTTCCAGTCCCACCATCGCATATCTTCAGTCTCTCATATATACTCTGTGCCGATTTGGTCCAGTTTAAAACAGATAATAATAATAATAATAATAATAATAAAACTTTGAATAAACTGGATTGATTATCACTCAAATTTGGCGTATGCTCACTATGTGGAGCGCCAGCTCGTCATGAAAGGTCCTCTACGTTGTTTCCAAAAGTCTAGAAGAACTCGAGGAGTACTGATAACCTTTCCATTGGGTCAAAGGTCACCGACTTCCGCAGCATTCTTCATAATCTTCATATAGTTTTAGGTGGGCAATTAAATAAAGTTCAAATGAGCAAACCTTCTATAAAATGTGCAAATAATATATATAATAGCATTTTTTGTGGATTAAACATTGTGTTGAGGAATGTACTGGTCACAGTGAAATATTTTCTATTTCACTTTGAGTCCACAGTGTCAGTGGCACCCACAGCTTTTGGCCTCCATATCGTCGAACTCTTTCAAAACGACGTTATTGTAATCGTCCAAATACAGAACGTGGATGCTGTCAAAATCGGATGGCACGCAGCAAGGTTTCGGAATCCGTTGACCCTTTAAACTGAAGTCCTTTGTGTTCAAGATGGCCTGCACTGTAGCGTGATTGGTGGCGTTAAAATGAGGATCCAATGGGAATGGACAGTGACCGTTACAGAAGTTAGCGTTGTAACCTGGATAAAAACAAAACAGGTTTGAAAAGCTAAGTGATTGTATGGTTATGTCTGACGATTTGTGATTAACATTTACCCCAAAAACTGTCCGAACCTAAATGTGTCGTTAATTAGCCTGGCCAATACACCTATAGTACAGGGAATTGTAGAATTCTATATATTTCGCTACTAAAATGGAAAGAATGTGTTGTCTTCAACTGAGGTGTGACCCACAATTGATCTTATTGACTGAAGGCGGATCGGCGTGACTGTAAACTGCGGGCCTCCATTAACAATGGCAATGGTCTGTGTCACTGGTCCGCGGTTCAAATCATGTAACACGCTACATTTTTAGCGAATTCTCGTAGTCACGATGAGATTACGCATAATATGCCATCTTTTCACCATGTTCAGCGTCCAAATGACCATGAGCACTAATATGATAACATGTCTGTATTTCGAGAAACATCTGTATTTCGAGAAAAGCAGCGACAATCGTTGCCCAACCCCACACCCGACACAGTTTTACTAGGGCAGTCACGGTGAGCCTGAATGTGTTCTGTTTGGCCATTGGATGCCGTATCAAATTTCCGCTCTGGATGTGACGTCCGTGTCATATGCACTTTTGAAATTCACATCTACCCATCCCTACTCCGAGACGTCGTAAACACTAAACTAAAACAAACAAAAAAAACAAAATGTGCTTTTAGTATGAAATCAATTCTCACCGTTTGGGGCAATGATCCAGTCGCTCCATCCAACTTTTTGAAAGTCCACATAGAACTCGTACAGCTGGCACTTTTTACTTCTTGTATTACTTCTCCGCGCACTCGAAGTGGACCGTTTTCTCCGTCTCCTCTTTCCCGACGTGTTTTCCTCTTTTTCCTCCCCCGCTCCATCTTGCAGCTTCTCCCCATGTATATCCATGTAAGCTGGGGTGAGGATATCGTTCTTTCTTATGGCAGTGTCATTTAGGTATAAAATTAAAAGCGGCATCCTGTCCTGGTTTCGCCGGCGTCTACGGGAAATTCTCAATTCATTGTCGCTTTCGTCCACCATTTCAATCGCGTAATGCATCGTAGTATTCTCCAGCAAACTGGCCGCTGCCAAGTGTTTTTGGTGGCTCAGAAAAGTTTGCGTGACGTCAAAAACAAGCCAGCCTTTTTCTGTTATGTGAACCGTTCGTGTTTCAAGCAAGTCAGACTGTTGTCTTGTTCCCGACCCACTGATTTGGAAGAGGTTTACCCTCGCTGTGTCCTTTTTAGCGTTTTCTTTTTCTTTTTGTACATACAACCTCAGTTCGGCTGACAAAACGAACTCCCTCGGAAGAAGGCCATGTAAATCGAACACAAAACTGTTTTTTCTTCCTCTACCTACAAAGCAAATAAAATATAGTATAGTTCAATAAATAAATTCAGTACATGTTCTTGCGATCACACACACGGTGATGAGATGTATGTCATTAGGTGTTACCAGCAAAACCACTTTATACTTTTTTGTCGCCAAGTTGTATACTTCGCCGGTTTAAGTTACTTCAAAATTACAGCGCATTAACGGGATGATGGCAGATATCTATTGTACACTCATTTCATTTTATATCTCGTTGATATTTTCTTTCGCTACCCTTTGACTTTTTGTTGGAACCCCGGGGCAAAGTTACAAAAGTTAATGTTCTGTAGAATTTACAGAGCGATAGTTCACTTCCTTGGATCGGGTTCCCTGACAGCGGTTGGGTAACATTACCTACGATAGTTCAACCTACAATCCAATCACCTTTAGCACAGTAAATTCCAAGAAAAACAGCGTAACCGCGCCTGATAAACATTGACGTCATCACAGAAATGAACATACATCGGGGTGAAATACAGAAGCTACTAAGTAGAGTCCAGCGAAAATCGGTATATAGTCATGCCTCTATTTTGGTCGAGTTACTAGGCAAGCGATGATCTATATTGACACAAGATATCATACATATATATATATATATATATACCTCATCATCCCATCGTTATTCAATCATTATTGTAACTTTTTGACTACGCGGCACTGTACACATAGTACAGTGTCGACGACCCACTTCTACAATGTAAACGGACTGAGAATTACGACCAGCAACATAAATGATTTATTACATTTTGAGGCCAACCCCTGAATGGGCATCATAACTACCTCGTGATAAATCCGGAGCATATGTGACTACAGTCATTCTCCACTCTGAGCCAAGAATGATGAGATTCGAAAAATAGAATGGTTCGGCAATTCTCGTGTTACAAGCACGGACATTCTTTCGTAGTAAAAGTGGCCTTCTCTGAGTCGCGGAATTGGATCGGTATTTAAGCCTTGTTTTGAAAGAAAATAATCATCTTAAAACGTCTGATTTTTCCTGCCGTGTGTGCTTCATGACTTATTCTGTGGTGATTCACGTGGGCGCGATGTGGGGCCGCAAATATTGAGTCTGGTGTCTATGATCTCGCTTTCATGAGATGTTTTATTTATAGAGCAGTCATCCTCGCGGGGGAGAGATAATGTGTTACTTCGTCTTGTAAAGCTAATATTTACATCTCTCCGTTATTTCTGTTACAGTTATACGCTAGACCCCTGCGAAGACAGCTGTTACAAGCGAGTTTGGCAAGCTCGCGCTGTACATGTACATCGCCAGCAAATAGTGGGAGAGTAGTTATGTATAGCGTGCCATTGCGTCGTGTACGATGTGAGTCCCACACGACGCAAGCAACACATGTAGAATACAGTTCGAATTTCATGTAAACAAAGTATTTTTCATGTGTCGCATCATTATGGGACCCATGCCGACTGTTAGCTTACACGTTTTAATTAGAATTAGTCAATGTTTATCATGCCAAATAGCATTATTTTGTGAGTAGTTGTGCTAACGATTGCACATAATATCGGTTGTATCAATAAACATGTTACGGGCAGCGTACCGTCGGAGCTCAGACATGTCTGTCGGAGCCTAAGCAGTGTATTCCTGTGCAATATTGATTCATATTTCAAGAAAATACTCACTCGAGTTAGACATAAAGGTCTTATCGTTCTTTTTGTTTTCTTCTCTTGTTCATGAGAGACCACCCTTGCGATTTTCACGGTCCACTTGTAAATCATAACAGAGTAGTGCCACTTATCACGAAGTGCTTAACGTGCTTACGTGGGCGAATTTCATTGCCTTCATTTCTATATGCACTTCGAGCACAGTGGAATTATGAATATACGATATTTGTAATGGGCTACCGTGCATTATATTTAAAACATGTGTGTACCAGGGTAGTCCGTATATCCACATCCTCGATTGTTAGTTGTGGATTTCCTCTGACAGAAACAAACATAAGCAGCTGTTGCCGTCAGGCAATCGTAATATTGGGTCATGTGTACAACTTATTGGTCGATCTTGCCAAATTTAGGCAAAGGGTCAAACTTGAGATGAAAACAAATCAATAAATCAGACAGGCATCGAAATATCACTTCTCGTACATATGTTCCTAAAGGTTCGATGAAATGTCATGGCATGAAATCTAAGGATCATTGAACGGAACGACAATCGCGAAAGGCTATATATAGATTTTGCGACGCGGAACTTTAAAGACCAAAAGAAGTAGCATTGAAATAAACACCCCCGAAGTGCCAGTAATACCTGTTACGTTGAAAAAAAAACTATCGGAGTAGGGGGACATCGCCCACGTAGAGGGCACGGTGGAGGATGACACTTCAAACGATGTGTAAAACAGATCATACATCTGATCGATGCGTTGCCATGTCGACCGCTGTATGTGAGTTTAGTGTGGGACTAATATTTGCAAGCCATTTCTAATGTACACATGTGGTCCCATTCGATGAGATTCTTTCGTTTAGATAAGATATTACCAGGGTAATTTTACAATCATGCTCTGTGTAGGCCGATTCTTATGTTGTATTTTTGGAACTAATTAATATTTTAATATTAATATACCCGGGGCGATGGCGCCGTAAGTCTCGGCGACGTCTGTGCCTTTTGAAATCAACAATGATGTTCATAAAAAACAAATCAATTGATTGCAATTAAACAATTAGCATATGCGGCAAGTATGTGTGTAAATAGAACGGAACCCCGAAATAATTTGATTTATTAATTAATTATAGTATCGTCCTAGAGTTATGATATAAATATATGCCAATATCAACAACTGATAACAAAAAAACTGAATAGACTTAATTAAATATGATACATATACTAGTAGTATAGAAGCTTACTAGTTGGAGAAACTAAAAAAATAACGATAACGAGATTACTCGAGGTAATTGTCGGTATGCATACCGAATGTAAATCAGGGACGATCTGATGCCAACAACAATCAAAGAAAAACTAAGTTGAATAATTAGTCTTCCTATTTCCACCGACACCGTCGGTAGTAGCGTCGAACAAAGATAGCCCAAGTAATCATACAGCTCAGTATAGACCTATCGTGTTACACCACGGCACGGTCTAAAGTCTGACTTAAACATAATATTTTCCTATGCAATTGGACCATAAAATGAACTCCCAATCATTTGTTAGTATTGGATTCCGCCAAAAGACAGAAATAATCACACGGAACGTCAACACTTCGGAAACAAACACCTTTTTCGGGGCCTGGGACTGAGCTGTGCTAGAACACGAGCGCCTTCTTTTTTCCTTCGATTTAAAGTCTATCGGTGTCCGCTGCTCGCCTCGATACTTTGGTGCCGTTCTCGTAGTAACTAGAGACTTTATTGGCACGATTGCTATTTCAGATTCTTTTAAAGGAATTTTTATGGAAAAATACGCGTGTTATACGTATCATGTTTTCTTTGCCTCATGCAGTTCACTCCCTAATATCTCATCGTTCGTCACTTTTTTTTTTATTTTTCGACAAACAATCGCATTGATTGCAGCTACTATGAAATAGCAAGCGCGGCGACTGTAGTGTGTCGGAATGGTAGGGTATTCTAGTGTTTGATTTGAAGGCTGTATTATAATTGATAGTGTAGACCTAGACATGTATTCCCAACAGTTCCAAAAGTTACATTTTCTAAATAACTCTATGTCTCTGAGTCGCCAAGCGTGAAATGCCTGTGTCCACCTATTAAAATACGTTTCGGGAAAGGCATCGCTCGCACAACTAAGAAACACAAACAAACGCATTCGTTGGGTGTAATACACAGAAAGCATCAAATATATGTAAAATACAACCACTTCGGCAATTCGGTTGTTCCTTTATATTGTTTTGATGACAGGAGGGGGCTGTGTTTGGTGATAATCTGTCTAGGCGCCGCTGGGACTTAGAAGGGGTGTGTTAAGAAACTTCTGTAAAGATTCTCGTTCACGCCTATGTCGGGCCTGAGTTCGACATGGATAATGAAACACATCGTCACCTCTATTATTTTCAAATTCGTTAGTTACGGATAGTGGCGACTCAATTATAAACACGAGACTGTCCGTTGTCGCGTGAACCTGCATGTATACATGTTACATTTAGAATCTACACGTCCTTGGCGGAAACTGGGCGTGAATATCCGATACATTGTCAGCATATACTGGGATCATGAATCATGGCAAAATCGAAGAGTAGGGGAAAAGTGTAGCAGCGTACCATAGAGAAAAAAAAAGAGTAATAAAACTTGTCCGATGCGAGAAAGTGGGCTTCGCAGCAGGGGGCTACTTGACCCTACTTACCACACAAACTCGTGTCATAGAGTATTGTAAGACGAAAAACCAAACAATTTTGGCAATTACCGCGGTATTGACAACGTCCCTTCCTAGCACTTTCGGCGTTGGGTGGGTCTTATAGGTCTTACCCTGGTATTTGAAATGTCAGTCAGAAAAAAAAGAGAAAGAGAAAAAGTGGCATGCGTTTTGTATGGAGAACTATGTTAACGACCATGACATGAAGGTTGCCCCTGCTCTCATAAAACTTTTTAGATGTGGTCGTGGCCCTTTTTTCACGCTGAAAAGGTTACATGGGGTAGGATATGCGCGGGAGACAAAGCGGTGCCTCCTTTAGCACGCCGGTGATTGATCAACCATTTGGTACAGTAAAACGCATCGTTTCTGTAAACATCTTTAGGGTATTTGAAAGGACAAAATAAACAGAGGATGTTCAAAACCAACTTGTGTTGATACAGTCCCATATATAATGGCGATAAGACCTAGCGATCAAGGAATCGGTCGGTAGCTGCCCGTTTCGCGGATTACAGTCAATGTTCAGCGTAACAATGGTAGTATTTTGTAAAATGATAATCATAATAGCTTACCTGTATCGAAGAAGCTCCTCACTGTGTTTGCTTTAATCTGTCTAGTCGCGGTTGTTCTAGCCTGCTGATTCTTTTCCTCCGCTAAACTTTGATAGAGTTCCATCATAAAAGATGGGGTTTCAAACTGTTTTCGGCCATGCTTCGGCAGCTCCCTCAACCCGAAGACGTTGAGTAGTTTAGTTTCAAGTCCGCCTTCCATGTTTTCTTGACGTCTTTCTAAAAGATCCCCGAAATTACCTTGGGAATCTTTACGGTGTTTCCCCGATTTTGTTTTAACTGGCACGCCGTGGACTAACCAGAACAAGGACAGTACGATCAACCCAAAAGTAATGCCCCAATTGGGAGTCATGGCGGAGTACTATGTTTTTAACACACGGTTAAGTAACTTTATACCTCACGTTACGTCGCTGCAGCACTTGAACCGGTGGTTTCTACAAGGCGTGGTAGTGGTTACGCTCAGTAAATTCGTTTGGCAGGTGTTATCGTTGGAGCAAGCATGCACCACACTGCACATGGTGTGATATTTTATACCAATGTCGTAGATGCACTACCTTTACGTAGAGGCATATTGGACAAGCTAATGATATGTGCACAGCATCTGTATAAGCGGGGGCTTCTTCGACGATGACACAACTTTCAATTCTATACTTCGAATCCGTAACTCCCACGCCTCTTTTCGTTTTTTTTTTTAAATCAAAAAAGTCGATGCTGCTGTGATAACGCCAATTGTTTACATAACGTAGGCTGCCGCCGTCTTACGGACCGATGACTGCTCTCTCTCTCTCCGTCTCCTCTTCTCTTAACTACAATGAACACAATCTTGTTAAATTGCAGGGTTGGTTGTTGTCAGTTTGAAGAAATTGACCCTTACCACAGTTCCTCGCAAATATGCTTTTGCCTTGTCTTGACACCGATGTGACCCGCGCAGCTAGTCAAGTGATGGATGATGGCGAAATTACCTGCTCGCACACACTGTGGTTCCCTCCGACTAACTAGCTGATGAATGGTCAGCGGGAGCTATGGGGATGCCAATTGTGGCACATTAATACTCGCCGTTTTTGTGTCTGGCTCGGACCCGCTTTCAGTGGTACTTTCACTCGGTTTCATTATACTGTTTCATGCATGCATTCCTTCGTTGTTTTCATGTATGAATGGGGGCCAACGATAACATCGGGGATTCTGTTTGGTTCTTGCTCGTTTAGCGGTATGCAAATCAGTGTCTACTATTAGTTTACTTCTGTCATTACAGATTTCTATTGAGTTTAATGAGAGGGTTGGGCCTGTCTCGCAGATACACCCCCAAAACAAGTCTCCGTGTCGACGCTGTGCAAGCTGAGAATGACGTATTATTTCTTAATGGTGTGGTAGCCACTGTGGCACCCACACAGTCGTGCCTCTGCGCAATCACATTGTGCGCCGCGGCAAAGATGAAAGCAACTTAACCAGGACGCTAAATGGGAGAAATTAACTGGTATCATACAACTTTGTTTCATCAATAAAGCTTATTACAAACGGGGAAAACACAAAAAAGTGTGTAAAACCGCCTCGTTATGTATGTCTCCTCGTTGACTGACGAGGAATGGCCACTGTTCGTGACGTGTTGGTTTTTCTTTTCGTCTTTTTTCAGAAAATCTGTGCAAACGAGCTCCTAAACCCATAGATGGTCTATGGGGGACAAAAGATAAGATCATCAACGCTACTTGAGACTGCTTAACAAGTCCTCGAAGTGCTCTTTGAACCCAGTTCAAGAGGGTCCACTTTCTCATGTGGGACGTTAAACAAACATCTCGCGCTACCATTGTATCGTCTTGTTAAAAACGAACGCGACAACAATAGGGTAAATGGGGCTGCCTGTAGTCCCCAAATGTGATAGAGGGATTTATTCTCCACGCACCGATCCCTTTCTAACACGAACTACGAAGACGCCCTCGTACTTTCAGCTAGATAGACAAATGCACAAAGCCGTGTAATTTACCGGTGCGCCAAGCTACCATCGCGTGTGTAAACAGTTCATTTTTAAGTATATTACCTTTGTTGCTTCGGTAAAGGCTTGGCCAACATAATATATTCAGGTACATTCAACACCCGACTTTCCTTGAAAAAAAAGGGTTTGTTTTTTTAAATTGATTATGGTTGGTTGTTTGTTTGTTCAACATAAATGTGACGTTTTAAACTTGGACTTGATCTTGGCTTATTGTTATCTGATTTAGGGCAACTCCGGGATGAAAGCAACGCCAATCAACATTCACATATAATACTAGTAATTGTACGACAGAGTTCATTATTTTATCTGATTACATCAGTCATCCCATTGACGTTGGATTTTTTTTTTATTATAAAGGTTACTTTTACTATAATCATGAATATATAGGACAATGAATAACCATGATTCGTCAAAGTGAAGTCATCGCCGAAAACAAAGGAAGAACAGTTTTGTCGCGGAAGTGAGATACATAACAGTGTCAAGTAATGAATGGGAAAGAGGTTGAATAATGTATAGATTTTTTCCGCTGCTTTTTCACACACAAATGTCATTGTCAGCCTATGACATAGCGAAGATATTTTTTGTTTAATCATGGAGGTAAAAACCTGCGTAAAGAAAAACAAACATATAACTTGTTAATTTAATTCGTTGAATAACGCTCGATTGTCACCCACATACATTATCGCATCGGTCGGGTGTTTTTTTTTTTGGGGGGGGGGTCACATTTTTACATCATTGATGCCAAACAGACACCTGTCCGATTCCTACGAATCAAAAACGTTCAAGTTGACGAGGAAGACAATTCTTTGGCACAGATTCGGTGAAAATAGCGAAAAGGTATACACAAGCTGGTACGCCCCCATAGTTATTGACAACCTAAAGTGAAAAAAAAAACTCATTCGATGATTCATAAACGTGTACCTGTCTTGAAATTTACCATCGTTAAACAAGTTATGAGCTTAAACTATAGAGAGTTGTCATATCCCAAAAAGTATAGAATTACATTTTTAAACATTAACTAAATATTAACGCGATACATGCTGTGAACGAATGTCATGTATGTTATTGTTATTTTTGTCATGGCCTGTAAATGCTATAATATATTTTTATGTAGTGTATCCCTACACAGAGTGATACATAGCTTGGATAGGATTTACATTGTAATTCCATGTGGGTTTGTATCTATGGGTTTATTTGTGTGTTTCACGTTCGTCAACAACTCACTGGAAATGCAATTACGCCGAGCTACTCAGTTAAAAAAATACGCGATCCTAATTCATTATTTATTTTATTAGTAGTTTTCATCGACATGGCGTGTTTTTTTTTCTTTTTCGCTACTTTGATAGACAAGGAGAAATACATTGTGTGACCATCTCGCCAAATCGAGACACGGTTAATTCATGACGCTGTCCGTGAAATTGTTATTGTGTGTGATGATGCCGTAAACGTCATTTTCACACATAATACGGTTTCGCTGGCGCCTGCTCGTCTCTTGAATTAATGTTCTGTCTATTCTCCGATCAATCGATCTTCCGAGCAGTAATTGCCACCAATTATCAGATTTACGCGGAAAAAGGGAAAGATAATGAGAAAAAACAATTGTTGAATCACATTGACTTGTTGTGTGAGATTCAGTTTTCTCATTAACTCGTTTCCTGTATGAATCATTTAGACGTTTGTTTGTAGCATCAAACCCTAAAACGTTCATTCGAATTGCTCCCCAAACCTCATATGGCGTGCGCTGCACTCACATCCGGGCGACTCTGTGTCCGTCAAAGCAATGACATTTTATTGACAGCCAGAAGGAAAAAAATAACACACGAAACCAGACATTTCTATGGTCTACGTACAAAAAATAACCATTCAGCCCGGGAGTGAGACACTCCCACGGCCAAGAAACTGATATACACTGTTATTGTGAGCTATCGGCGACCCCAATCTGCCAAGAATGCACAGTGTCTCTAGTAACGGGGAGAAAGTCCACGTCAGAACAACGAATTATTATTTCTCCATTGTGTATATTTGACGCTATACAAGCACAGTAAAATGGGTGAGGATTCTAACAGCGCGAGAGACATAATACTATATATGTAGTAGAATTTCCCGCCTATCTTAAATTTTCTTTCTATACCCCATCGCCAATACTCTACCGCGGCGTATTTTCTCCACCGCGGGGGTTCACAACGTATTTCAAACACCAGTGGTGTCTGTGTTAAAACACATATTGATCTAGTGTCTTTCAAACATACTACGTGACTCCCAATCTCTTTAACTTGTCAGCTTGATGTTTTCTTTATTGTGCTCTTGTTGAGTGAATACATATTCTCTTGCACGGATTTCCACCCGTGTTTCTAACTCGCCTAAGAGTTATGGTATTGTATTGTAGTACGGGTTTCACGTACTCATAAACAACCCGCAGACTTTCAAAGCGGATGGAATGTTGGTAATGTAGAATTGAATGAGGGGAAATGGTTACTACGGAATTTGAGCAAAATAAATAAACCAGTGACAAGGTGGAACAAATTGGCTGTAGACAATTTACTATAATTAATAGTCCAACCTACAGTCATGGATTCACAGATCATAAATCCTTTCCCCCTTTCTTGGGAACGAGAAAACTGTAAGTCACGGGTTCATTCACACACCGGATAAAGTTACTCCCTCTTGGATGGATTATTTTCGTTTATTATAAACCCTGTGTACTTTCACTGAACCAGAGTGTACAAGTGAATAGAGTGCACTGCGGTTTTGTATCATTTGAAGTTCTTTATGCGTTCTTTTTTTGGGACGTAAATTGAAGCGTTAAGATAGTTGCGACTAGTCACGTGTATATATAAATTGAGCGAGAACAAATTGTATTCAAAAAGCATCAGCGTTTGACAAATAATCTCTATCTTCTTCTATATATAACCACATCAAAATAAGTTCGCGTATATACTAATAATATATGCATTGTGGGTAAAATAAGCGACTCCCCAGGACACTGTATCTAAATATCAACACTTTATCGTTATTCAGGAAACACAGTGGACATACTAGGCACTCTTCACAGCCAGAAAGGAATTATTAATATGCTGGTGTCAATAATAGATACATTAAACCCTTCATATATACAGCAATTCCTCCAGAATTGTCGGAAATAATTTCACAAATCCTCGATCGGCGATAATGACTAGCAAGTTAAGTGGCTAGAGTCGTCCGCCATATTGTTTAAAGGCCAGCTGGATATGGACTAGCATCTGAGGACTAAAATGTCCAAAAAACATTTAAGCGTGAAAAGTGACAGGGATTGGCAGGCGTTGTGTAGCGAGGTAAAATATAAGTTTATTGAATCAACCTTTTTAATTGAAAATTATGCGAGTCCTAATGGTTCTGCTTCGCGTTACATGCATTCAAAATATTGCAATGAATGTGAAACGACGGGACATAATAATTTGATACATAATCTGGCGGATGTCGTTTAAAAAAAAAATCATTACGAAATTGACACGGTGCGATGTGTATCGGTTTATTATTTACATATTACCATAATATTGATTGATGCATTTAAAAATTTTGACTTGAAATCGCGAAATAATGCAAATTGCAATGTTCTTGCTTTCAAATATTGCCAGTCTATATTTTATTGGTATTCCGAGTTTTTTTTTTTTTTTTTTTTTTTTTCTGTTTGAAATTGCCCCCATTGATATCTGCACTGATATTATCACTGAACAAATCCGACAAAAATTATTTGAGTAAGAAATATTTGTTCCAGGTCCAATTAATGGAATTTTTCTGATACACATCTTCTCAGTGATGTTTTTGGCCAGCTACAGTATACTTTCTTACCTGGGCACCATGCTAGGGCATTTGACACAGCTCTATGCAATCCAATGTCAACCATACAAGTTTCACCATAAATATTGACATACAAGCAGCATTATACTGAATTATTTATGTGGAACATTATTGTCATTCACACTATATACTGTAAAATACTTCATTCTCACTTGAAACTTATTTTCGCTATTTTCACTGAAGGAATGATTCAGTGAAAATAAGATACAGCAAAAATATACCTTTTTTCTTATATTTTAAATTCAACTCTTCAAAAATCAGTGAAAATACAGAACATCCAAAAAGCCTGTTCAGCTAAAATCAATTCAATCTAAAATAAAGTCTTTTACAGTAGTATATTAGGTGAAAAGCAAGTAAAAATTGATATTAAAAGTGTATCCGCTTATAGAGGTGTGTGTAAGGTCAACATAAATCTCATTTTATTGAACCAGCATACAATAAATGCAATTTTTTTCTGTATACGCATCTACTGGAGATGCGCTTCTTATAGAGCAAATACGGTATACAGACTTACTATAAATTTGCCCAAATAGTTTATAGTTGGCATGGTGGATTTCAGATATATTTCTATCATTCTGGATATCATACCTGTATTTTAGTATTTTTCATGCAAGGAATAATTTGGAAACAAAGATATCATTTTACCACTTATGTTGCAGTTCAATGTATGTAAAAGACGGCTCCGTAGCAAAGAGGAGGGACTTTTGATATTATCCAAAGAGCTTGACACGATCAGGAAAGAAAGAGATGAATACAAACTCATGGCGGAACAGTTGCGTGAGAAGTACCATGGACAGAAAAGAAAATATGAAGAAAGAGAACGGGTACATTGATAACATTTTTATTATTACAGGGCTTGAACTTCAGATTTGAGGGGGCATTTTCAAGGCCAAAATCTATAAAAAAACGCATATATGAATAACATAGTTCTAATTATTATTTGCTTTATTACACAAAATCTTCCAGAATAATCGAAAAGTAAGTTTGCTACTTCTATTGAAGACGCGCTTCTGATAGAGCAAATAAAGTACGAAAATGAAAATCCATTGGCTCATAGATTTGTCCAAACCCAGTAATGAACTCCTTGATTTTTCCAATATGGAGGATGAACATATTCATAAAAGAGCAACAGATTTACTTTATTATACCTTCAGATCATTAATTGTTACATGTGTATTCAACCTTAACAGGCACTCGGTCTATGGTCTCCAGACAACGATCACGTAGCTGAGAGAAGAAGCCAGGTAAGAGAAGTCAGTTGTGTTACCATCTTTTCTTGCACAAAGATTTATGAAATAAGTGCATGTAATTGGTGTGATACGTGATGAAATAGTGTGAATTGCAAGACGATCATTTCACATAAATGCCAATGCAAAAGAACTGGTCAGTGTTTGTCCTTGTGTTTTTAGTGTTTAGTGTAATGTTGTTTCCCTCTTTCAAGTTGGATAAGACCTTTCTAATTTCTGTTTTCTCTTACCAATAATCATAATGGCCTACAGTGATGCTATTGTAGTCCACCATGTTTATGCTCAATTATAAGTAAATATTATACAAAAAAGTGTCATTCTATTTTCAACGAGCAAAATAATGATTATTATGTTTTTTACCTTTTTGACAATATCTTTACTTTTGTGTATTTGCGACATTCTAATCTTCATTATAATTATATGCATGAGTAATATGCAAGCTGAAAATTTTAACTAATACAGTATTCCATGTGTTATAGACAGTTGATATGATGTTATATTTTACCCACAATCCCTCGCTAGAGAATCAAGGTGGCGGACTACATAATACAGATATAATGTTGAATATCTAGAGAATGAAAACTGATTAAAGAAAATGTAAATTGCATTATCCTACATATAGTAGGCATGCAAAAATAAACAAAATATACCCAGTTTTGTGAGCAACCATCAGATGATGCCTAAATTCAACAACCATCTCTCGAGACTGATATATCATATAAGGTCTATAAATATCACCTGGCACAGAGTATTTTTTTTCCACACTCTGCTAAATATATCTGGCAAAATTCACCAACAAGGTCTATATTTAAAAACTTTCAGAATATTCATGCATAAACGTCGTGAAAACAAATGAACTGTCAGCTTTTGTTTTATATATGAGGGCAAACACTGATTGGTTCCCTGTAATGAGAGGGAGACACTGATTGGTTCCCTGTAATGGGAGGGAGACACTGATTGGTTCCCTGTAATGAGAGGGAGACACTGATTGGTTCCCTGTAATGGGAGGGAGACACTGATTGGTTCCCTGTAAAGGGGGGCACTGATTGGTGATTTATATGTACCACAGTTTCTGTGCATTAAGGATCAGGTGCTGCAAAGAGGCTTTAGAATGATGACTTAGACATGGAATGACAGGGTTTTACCCTACAATCTCCTTGTAATCATCAAAATCACAGGAATTGCCAGCTAGGAAGATTAATAAGTGGTTTATAGTTATTATAACATATTTTTACTGTTATGTATTTGTTAGAGCTTAGCACAGTTGCTGTGTGAAGCAAGAGCTCAAAACAAGAAATTACAGTTTGAAGCTGAAGAACTGAGACAAAAAATGTCTGAAGCTCACGGTGATATCAAGGTATTCATTGTTATGTTTTGCATTTACGTGCATTTATGACATTACATTTTTGGCCAATTGCTGCTCTCCTATCTAAAGCAAACACATAATTGTAATTTTCCTGCTTAAATAATAGTCACTTCCAATCAATTTAATAATCTAGAACACTATAGAGGGAGGTTAGACAGAACCGTCAATAAGTTCATTTTCATAAAGTTCATATATATAGAATAGATTACTGTGATTGAATTTACTTCAGCTTGAAGGCATAAATAACAATTGCTAAAACAACATTATCTGATACTTAGACCTGCATTTGCTTACAACCACCATACCACTATCGTTGAATCATAAACACCACCAATGTATGTCTGTTCACTCTGAAAATGATTTTGGTAAGTGATGTTTAGGATCAGGGTCTGCTTTAATGCTTACAATCAACATCTTTCAGCTCCTACGAGAAAGTATAGCGAGGCAGAGAGTTGGCGACGAGGGTGTGGGAGCAAGGCATTTTCCAGCACATGAAAGAGAAGAACTTGTGAAACAAATAGAGGAACTCAGAGAACAGGTGAGCTTATAATCATGATGGCATTATGTTTCTTTATATCCATGTTCTGGTCTGTGTCCTGCCAGAGCTATATCTGAAGTATGCTTTGACCAATTTTGCTCAAACAGAGCATTTTAAAAAACAAATATGACCCACTGGCCATGCATGCACACATTTTTTAGATGCCCATTTTGTGAAATATGTGTGTTATTTTTGTTCATGAACCAATGCAATATGGTCGATTGGTGACCATTATGCTTTATCATTGGTCATTCCCATGGTAATTAGCATTGAATGATATTTTTTGTTTAAAAATTGAGGTACAATGTTTAATACCTGTACTTAAACATTTTATAATGTCATACATGTTGTTGAATCATTTCAAATATCAGAATCACTGACAGGGGCTCTTTCATTCATCATGACAATCTGGGCTTTTGCTAACCCTTGCCAGTCACCATAGTAAATTATATCTTCATTTGGCTACATTGTCACTTTGACCACCAATGGATAACACTAATTTCAAACATTGTATTATTATTCAGTTTGAGAGCATGTCATCACCCATAGATGTAACATTAAACATCAGGAAAACATTTTGCTAATTATAAAATGTATGTTGTAGTAATGTATTTTAGTTTCTACACAAGTCTTCCAAAATTCATGATTTTTCAATTCTCGCCATTCGTAAAATCGCAATAAAACAATTTGTAAATTGGCTATAACTGTTATCCATAGTGAAATCCCTGAATAGCTTGTGGAATACTGTAAAACCATTTATTTTCACTGACATTTAATTTCATCATTTTGATATTTTCAGCATATTCACTTGATTTTTATTTAACTGATTTGCCAGTAAAACAATGAATTCTATCGTTATTTTACATGTTCATGTGCATTTAATTTAGCGTATTTGACTTATTAGTGAAAATAGTGAAATTAAGAAAAATAGTGTGTCAATGTGACTGTTAAGTTGACAATAATGACTAAAGTTTAGCCATGGCATTGTGGTTAACTCCATGCTAACTAAACATAAACACAGATCAGACCTCACATCGTTTTCAATTCTATGGATATCAGAAATCTATCTCGCAAAAGTTTGTGTAATTTTTGTTGCTAGGAAAACTTTAAAAAATTTTCGAAACTAAAACAATTTCGTGTTATTTCCCATTGTCTACATGTCTTTAACTATTTTGCCTAAAAATTAACTACTTTCAGCATGACAAAAAAAACAAGAGCTATCTAAAGTTACACTTGTAGTGTGAGTCTGTACCAGATACAGTCTGTAAATCAAACGTTAGTTTTTCTTCACCACCCACAGTTGGCTGTTTCAATGTATTGGAACATAATGGTCAGGATTACCATCACACAGAACTTTCTTTTAATGTTGTCAGAACTTTACAAACGTTTCACTGATTTATATGCAAGAAAATGTCGGCAGTGGTTATCAAGGAGTTTGATGAAGGCAGCAGTATTTTAGTCGCTAGTCTTCAAAGTTGAAGCTACTACATGCAAAAATAGTACTTCATTAAAATAACACATCTTGTTTGTATGAAAGTATAAGAGAGGATTCAGTCTGCCATAGGGTCCTACGAAGTATGAAACAAATGCTTAAAATTTACGTCTGTGATGTGTGTGTGCCTTTCAAATATGTCAACTCTTGAGAGTGAAAGTGATAGTTGAGCTGCCCTCTTCTCAATATCTATTAAAAAAGTTGTATAATAATAAGGTGTACACTTCAAAATATATACTCCGCGAGTTTTTGGTTTTTGTTCTCATTAATCAGGTGATGAGGTCATGAGGTCAAATAGAGTACAATAACAAGACTACATTATTGTAGTGCTCAGTGCCATAGGTTACAGACCTAGGCATATAATAATAATAATTTATAATAGTCTGCATATTAATTAACCAATTTGCATACTAATCCAGCTTGTTAATTGTGTATTGCAACAACAATTTGATCAAATTGATTAAAACATGGTGTATTGTTATATTAGATCAATACAAACAGCAGCAACAGCAATTTGGCTCAAAAATTTCACTTCCATATTCTCAGGTGAAATATGTTGTGGGAACCAGTTGTTTTGGTCTGTACGATATATGAAAAAGTTATTTTTAGATATTGTCAGATGTAGGTCGAAACTAGGACTTGTGTTCTAGCTTCTTGACACTGTATCAAAACAAGGATTTGTGGTTAATCCACACCTGCATCTTGGAGATGCCTGGGTCAATTACATTCAAACTTCACACACAAGTTATATATCTTGGTATACACATGTTCGTCTATTCGTTTTATGATCTGATTCAACAATGACGGCTATTATAATGTTAAAAATTCATTAAAATCAAGCATTCCTGCCATTTCGCAACCAGTTTCTGTTGTTTTGGATGGATTTCATTCAAAGTTGGTATATACATTGGACATTATGGAACTTTGAGGCATGTGATTTTGTTTTTTAGATCTGATTGAAAATGGCTGACTGGCGGCTATTTTTGTTTTAAGTAGTTCCGTGGCTGTATCTCTGACATGCTATGACTGATAATGTCCAAGCTTAATTGATATAAAAAATATCATACATCTCAATGCATTTATGACACAAACACATAGGTACATGAAAAATAAAGTATATTACTTTGGCAAAACAGGGGGGCACACAACGAAATCCATTGGCTTACAAGAAATATACCAGGATGGACATGTCATGAGCCCCCATCATGTGAAAGCAAGAACACTGAAATAATACACAACTCAAAAATCTGTGTTAGTAATGAAGCTTCAGTCGCTGGGGCTGTAGTGTAATGAAAGATTGCAGTGTGACTGCAATTTGAGGTATAGGCAGCGAAGGCTGCGGCTATATTATGGAGGAGCAGCATTGGCTGCTAACTATCGAAGTTAGCTCTTTGAAGCAGCATGGCTGCAAATGGATGGTTAATGAGATATTAATAAAATACATAAATCTCTATCTAGATAAAAGTACAACTATAGATAACAGTACAACTAAGTAAAAATATTATTTTGGGATGATATGAGCCCCATGAAACTATCCTTAATATCTGAGTATATCTGCTTGACCATCGGTTACAAGATGGCTGAATGGTGGCCATTTAAATGTTAAAAATTCATCAAAGTCAAACATTTCATGTGTTCTGTTTCAGAGACTTTCACAGATTTTGATTTTTTTCTTTTTCTTTTACCCATTTCCTTAGTCACACTTGACCATTTTTGTTTATATTTTATACAAAGGCTAAACATAATAGGATGTTATCATCATAGATGACAGAGAAGCTGTATATAAGTGATTGTCTGTAGTCATTTGTTTATCAACAATTCTATTTTTGACTTCTTCTTGAAAACTACTTGGGTGAACCTCGGTCAGATTTGTTCATATATTTTTGTCATTTTTGGTAAAAAATGCTATTTTAGATGACTTCTTGAAAACTAACAGCTCAATTGCTTTGATACTTGGTATGTAGTTCCCTTGGTTGGACCTCTGTCAGATTTCTTCTCCAAGTTAATGAATATTTTTGTAATTTTTGGTAAAAGAAAAGCTAACTACTATTGTAGCTCAATTGCTTTGACACTTTGTATGTACCAATAGTTACCATGGTTTTACCTCCATAAGATTTGTAAGAAGATGATAACAGTTGTAATTGCCATGGCAACAACCAACTAAATGATTGTGATCTTACACTGAGGTAACAATAATAACCATGGCAAATAGTTAATATCTCATCATACAGAACAATGCCAACTTTTTGTTTTTAGGAAAACACTCTACAAAAACAATGGTGCGATTTTAATCATTTGGCTCTGTTCAATTAAATCCAAATACTAACAGAAACTTTAAAATGTCTTTCTGCAAACCAGTTTAATTTTGCAAGGGAAATATTTTTTGCAAATTTCTAGTGTCAGTGAAAATTATGAAATTTTGCAGCAGTGAAAATTTAATGGCTTACAGTTTTTTCTTATAGTGTAGTTTTTCAATGTACTGCCAGTTACCGAGTATAAGCTATATATATTAATATTTTTAGATTTTTTGCAGAACTTTAAAAAAATGAAGAAAAAATCAATTGTTTGTGAAAAATAAATATGAAAGCACAAATTTAATGATAATTTTATAAGAATAAAAATAATAATCTCACCAATTTTGAAAACAAATTGATGTGAAACATTTTTTTCCCTAAGCATTTAGATCTATTTTTCAAATCTATATATACAAAAAAATGAAATATGTAACATGCTTCTGTGGATCAATTTTCCAAGTCTGTTCAAGTGCTGCTGAAGTGAGTAAGTCTGATATAAGATGTTATGGAACCCACTTCAGATTTATGGAAATGTATTCTTTTTTTAAATCATTTGAGGTCGTGACATTTAGATGGAAGATGTGGACTGTAATTGCACAATTACACTATTGGACCCCGGATGAGTCATGGTGTGGCTGTATGTATTAACCCAATCACCTTTCTGATGAGTAAAATCACATGGCAATCACAGATTTCAGTTATTGTATAATTTTAGTAATATTAAGGACACTCTCACACTAGTAAACATCTTCTCAATATGATTTTTTTTTTCGGTCTGAAAACTGGAAAGTTGAAGTGATCTCGACGTAGATAAGTTGTTTCAATAACTTTTTAAGTTAACAGATATTCAGTCTCCCCAGAGCGTTACAAGTATATTGATGCTTAAATTTTTAGGAAACAAAAAAGAATAAATTAGAAAAATCAATCACTTTCCCTTCTCCTTGAGAGGAAGTGAGACGTATATTTCAGATGGTGACAAGGACTTTGTATGATATATAATAGTGTGTACAAAGCAGTTCAATATTGCATCAGCTGTGTTCGTTATAGTTACCATGCTATGTATACAATGTATGTGAAATTCATATGTGGCACATCATCAGGGGGATTGTGGGTGCGACTCCCATAGTTGGTTGCGTACAGAACAATGGAATGAGAGTATTAAAGAGAGTCAGGTCTGTGACATTTGTATTTGTATAAAGGTCCTTTGTACTGTTCATATACATGTACATGTAAAGTACAGTACAGTAAAAGGTTCTAGTTGTTTCTGTGGGATAATTTCCTATCAATACACATGTATGCTTGAATTATGCGGTCCCACATTTCTGAGTCTGTGATTGGGTCTGAGCCGGTTGGCAAAAATGACTGTATGAGTGCATGATATCTTCAATCCAATAATTACTGGCTAAATAAGCAAATACATTGTTTGTTTATTTGTTTGTTTACACAAAATTGGCACTTCTGTAATAGTTAATATTGGTTAACAGCAGTTGATATCATTAAACAACAGTTTATAACAATTAATAGTAGTTAATAACATTTACCGGTTAACAGTTTATAATGTTTGATAATGATTAATATTAATCTTTTAATGCCCTTTGTAGAAAAAAATGTAAATCACTATTTTCTTATCAGGTTCCTATA